TGTCGATATTTTTCATTTGTAAACATTTTCTATAAATCAACATTGAGATTTGACTTTTTCATAGCAATAACTGTGAAATATCGAACGCCCAATAACGATATTAGCGCAGTTCTAATTTTTTGTTTGCAAATTCTACGTGAACTCTTACAACAACAGTTTTGTAGTAATATTAATAATTAGTCCTGCTGCCGACATCTGTTCTCTAGCATTTAATTTTTGCATACTTTTAAGCTGAAGATATTTATACCTATTTGGAAGCAACGTAAAATGTAAAAATGCTGAGGAAAATATCTGAACGTTTTGATTCAAAAAATATTTATGTTTTTTACAGTTATTATCACTTTAGACAGTTATGCACTACATCATTTTAGCATTTGCATTTGTGTTTTGAAGCGAAGAAAAACGGAGAAGTGAATGCAATGGCAATATTTTTGCAGCAGTTTTTTTGCGTGTATTTTGTACAGATTTTAGTTATGCAAAGGGATATCAATTTCAGTGACGAAAAGTAGTAAAGATTACTATTTGTTATCGAAAACTCACTTCCTTCGCTTCTTCATTCCAAGTTTCGTTTGTGTCGCACGTTTATTCTGACGGTGGTACGAATCCCATCATAATAAGAGGGAGAAGGTTCTTAGTTACATGCTTGTTGATGTATGCAGATAATGATGATACTTCAGTAATACTTCAATATATTTACTGATAATGTCGATAAGTGTAGTTTTTTTGTTCTTCATTCTGATATCATCCATTTCCCAGTGTATCCTTAGCCAAGGATCAGTGATCAGTGAACATACAAGTTTCATTTTGTCTAATCGATTATTTTAGGAAGTTGCCAATGTTCGTATTTCACGAAATATGCTATTGGTTCTAAATACAATAAAAAATTTTACAGTCAGCTGTAGAATTATAAAAAATTTTTCAAAATAAAATCAAAAGTAAATTACGTGTTAGAGAATACTTTTTCTGGAATGTATAGTAATTGCTTTCTCTTATTCACGTTATTTTATTATATATTTTGTGTAAAGATTGTTGTAAATAATTAAAGCTGTTGATGACAACTTTCTGATGATAAGTAGTATCATATTGGTATTTCTGAAAACAAATTTATTAGTCTTAATGGTACGAACAAAGAAAGGTGTAATAGTTAAACAAAAATATTAACCTTTTCGTAATTTTTTATGAAGTCCTAAATAAAATCTGGTTTGGTCTAAGAAAGTTGTCTTCGGCAAAAATTATGTCAATTTTGAATGCTGATTATAAATTCTTAAAGATTTCTTGATGCTGAGGAGAAAAATTATATCAATGGTTTTCTTCGATGACAAGAAATATCGAGTTCATTTGTGCAGTATAAATTTCTTCTAGTTCTTCAAAATTTACAAATTTTTAGGAATAATTCGCCGATGCATAGAGCCACCCTGAACTGCTGTTTTCGGGTGAGTCATTATGGATTAAATTTAGTACTGAATAAACTTGTGCTTTCTGCAGGTAGTTAATAGAATATTTTAAGTAAACATTTAAAATATCCTCAGATTTTTGAAACTGGTGACGTATCTGGACTATTTATAACGGGTTGGCTTTTCTGCTAGTTTGCTCAGTGAAAAATTTTTTTTATATGTTAATCGTGGAATTAACATATAAAAAAAATTAGTTTGTGATCATTAGAGGAAAATTTGGAACATAGTTCACGAATTTTCAGTTTAATGTTCAGCTTTTAGCGGACTTTAGTAATTGGGACAAGTGCTGTCTCATTAGTTGGAGCTGGTTTACTTTACGCCTTGGAAAATGCCATTAAAGTTGAAGCTTTCGAACATTTCCCTCATCCAGCTCCATTGCCATGGGAACACAAGAGGATTTTTGGCACTGTTGACATGGCTTCGTATGTCTTCATAAATTTTATAAATCTTAAGTCTAATTTCGTTTTGTGAACACTAAATTATTGGTACTGGCTCAGTACATTACAACGTCAAAGATGTTTTTGCTGCAGAATCTTATTTTGTCTATATGTAATATAATATTTTTAGTTAAAATTAGTACTAACGAGCAGTTTTTTTTTCATTTAAATCAAAAATAGGTTGTGAGTATATCATTTTATGGAGCTTGATTTTTGGAAGCTAGTTTAATCATTTTTACTTATATCCGGAGCTTACTTTTAGTGCACGTCGTGGTTACGAAGTATATAAACAAGTATGTAAAGCATGTCATTCAATGAAGTGGATAGCTTACCGCCATTTGGTTGGTAATATCATGACAGAGGAAGAAGCAAAAGCAGAAGCTGCGGCTGTTACAGTTCCTGACATTGATGAAGCTGGTTTATAGCTCTTTTTAAGTCATATTATTAATGAAAATGTTGTGCGCTTGAAAAAAGTTTTGGAAAATATGTTATTCATCACATAATGTATAGATCAGTTTTTCGATCTTTAAAAGTAGCAATTCGTAGGGAATCCAATTGAACGTCCTGGAGAGCTCAATGATCGTTTATTATCACCTTACCCAAATGTTGCTGCTGCAAAGGCTGCAAATGGTGGCGCTTTTCCACCAGATCTTTCAATGTTGTTACTTACGCGAGAGGGTGCGGAGGATTATGTTTTTTCATTACTAACATCTTATATGGATCCACCAGCTGGAGTGAAGGTTGTTTGTAATTTGTTTATACAAGATGATTCATTGATATGAGTGATATGAGTATTTTTGTTTATATTTGATCAGCTTAGTAAGATTTGTTAGAATATTTTTTTTGGTTTTATTGTAAATATTGCCTAATCAGATAATGCTCTCCTAATTGCACAAAAATGGAAGTTTTTTTGTTTCAAGACATCATGAGAAAATTAGTTGATGGTTCAATTTTGTTTTATAGATGGATGAAGGCAAATATTATAATCCCTATTTTCTCGATGGTGTCATAAGTATGCCGCAGCAGCTATTTGATGGTGGAATTGAATACAAAGATGGTACACCTGCAACAGCAAGTCAGCAGGCTAAAGATGTAGTAACATTTATGCGTTGGACAGCTGAACCTTTCTATGAAAAAAAGAAAAGACTGCTTTTAAAGGTGACTCAGTTTTTATTTATCTTAGATGGGGGGTATAAGGATAAAAAGGTATAAAAATATTTGTCTTATTTTAAGTGAAAACAAAATATTTTTTCAGTCCTTTTACTATTTACTTTCATGGTTTTGAAACTTTTATATTATCTATTTTAACAGGCAAATCTAAATATATCAAGTTAAATGCATCTTTGTTGAGTAACTTAAATTGCCTTCATTAAAGTTATAATCAGTGTGATAGAACCAGGTTTTATGTTTGAATATTCAAGTAGGACATTGTTTTAAATATGGTAGTATTCGTTTTCAAAATTTATTTTCAGTGAAGGACTTTTATTAGGTCGCTTATTGAGTTAAAATTGAATTTCCACATTTCACATATTTTCAGTTCTTATTATTTTTGCCGTTGCTGACTTTCGTATTGGTTTACGGCAAACGGCATGCTTGGACATATATAAAAGGACGCAAAAGCATGTGGAGAACTGTCAAGGGACGCGAACGGCCTAGTAAACAGAATAGCTAAACTAATATCAAATTCAATATCTTTAGAAGAAAGAGGCCTTCTTTATAAATTTTGGGTAGAATAACTGATTTTATGACAGTTTCACTGCTATAAAATTGAGTGCAAGTGTGACCTCTCACGTTGCTTTTTTTCTCTTATTTAGTGAGTAGGCATTTTGCATCTCATAACAAGCGTTTTTCTTATGTTTTCATTGTAGGTCTTTTAATACAAACTCCGTACTTAACAAATTCCTAATCGTGCTTGAAAAGCAGTCCTTAATTATTTCCATCTTTTCACAATTTGTTTTATATCTTACTCTTTTATTTTAGATCTTCACTCGATAATTTGAAATTCGATATGTAAAGTAAACTAACTTGAATTTTTAATCAAATTTTAGTAGACTTTCTTGTGTGTTTCAAATTATCGTGTGTTATTTTAGCAAATGTCTAATGCCAGTGTATTTCCGCTTTACTTTCCAAATTTTTATTTCAGTTTCACTCTCTTCACAATGTTGTTCGTAATGTAATATGCGAAATTGTTTTTTCTTGCTTAATTCCTGAGAATTTGTCATCTTAGTGAATCTCTGGTTGAGTGATTGAGCTGGTAATAATGATGAAGTGCTTACGCTTAGGATGAAGTTAAGGACAGCGGTGATATTGCGTAGAAAGAGATATAAAACTAGTTATTTCTAAGTTGCTGTGCACTTTACACCTTATTCGATCAGGTACTGATTCTATACCTCGTGAAATTCATTTAATCACATTTGTAAAGATATTTGTTTCTTGCTGTTAGTGAGAGCACATATTTACAAAGTAAGCTTGCATGTTTTGTTTTAATGTTAGGAATTCAACTTCACAGAAATAGGCATCTCACTAAAAATGAGATGAATTTACTTCGTGAGTAAAAGAAAGTATCTAATATTAAGGTCAATCTCGAAATTTGTTATTTTAAAGTCAAAAACTTAAATTTTAGCATATTTTTTGTGGAGCACAAAAAGTAAATTTGCGAACAGTAATTTTCTACTGATTGCTTCCTATTTGTATGTAAAAGTTCTTAAATTTTCTAGCAGAAATGACTCTTGACCAACTTGTGGGAAAATCTATTATTTAAATTTAGCAACACACATATGTATCTGTTATGGAGAGGATAATTGTAGAATTAACATTATTTTTCAGATATCGAACTACTTATGTATGATTACGTTTGATTTGATTCCGCTAAATAATGATCTCAAAAATTCAATCTGAACAAGTAGTCGCCAGTACTTAATTCATTGAAAAGTGCTTTTATATATTTTATGTAATAAAAATATTGAGTAGCAAAAACGAATCTTCAAAATTTGGACATAATTCAAGTGTAGAGTCTCTGATTTTTCTGAAGCATCTCTCTAATACAGTTTCTAAATAGCGTGTGACTGACTAAGTATGCTTCTACATGACCCAGTCCTTTGATTACCTGTAAATTAATTTCACGAAGAAATAAGTTTGAGATTCACTATGGTATGAAGAAGTCAAAATTCCTTTTACCTGTACAGTTGACCCAGGCCAGACTTCCTGCATGGTAGGCACTCCTTTCCGAATAATATAGCCGTCATTTTCAGCGATGATATTTTTTACCAGTCTTGTATCCTTAGGAATAGGATAATGTTTCAAATTGGTAAATTCTTCCATTAATACATACATGAACTGTAATGGAAAAAATGGATGGATGGCAGTGAAAATTGTAAACACAGGAATGAAATTGTAGGGGTGGACATGCGCATGTACTTTTGCAGTAATAAGACATACATGAAAGGATTAAATTTTACGTTTGTAGATGAAACTAGAAATGAATCGTACGGATTTTGCGGCACTGAAAGGTGAGCTGTCCAGATTTTTTTGATATTCATAAGCTTTATCCAACCAATCGCATTTTGGTATTTGGCGAATTCCATCCCGAAACTTCTTAGTTTGGAGTTCCATTGCTAGCACATCCCAGGAGACGGATTTCGACAACGTACCCTTTAATAAAAATCCAATTTTTCTTTTGTGAAGTAACATTATTAAGATATATAGAATAAGCACAGTAAGTGCTCAGCGTACGCTGTGATTTTCACCTATTACCTCGACAAATACAGTTGAGGCTGTAGTCCATGAAAGACATGGCACCAGTGCTATGGGTTCCGGGAAATTTGTACATGCAAGGCAAGCCATGTGGCCACCCATTGATACCCCAGCCAACCCTAACGGCCAATAACCTTGTCCCTTAGCCCATTTAAGAAGGAAATTGCATTCTGATACCAATGCACCACCCATAACAAATAGATCCGAAACATTTGTTAGACTTGACCTGAAATATATATGTGGTACTCTACAGATAAGACTTTCAGGCCTTTTTTTCATTTCTAAGAGGACTTGATTATGCCAGAAATTCTGACCTAAACTGATCTCGAGGTTTTCTAGAGCCATAAAATGGATTTTGCAATAAGATCGAACTGATGTTACTTTTCAGCAAGTCGTTTGCAAATCCGAATTCTCGCCTGGATAAAAATTTAGAATTAGAAGCTTTGCTGATCAGGTAATATGTTACTTATTTTCCTTTTTGCTATCTGTTGACTAAAATTATAAAATATTTCCCTCTTTACCAGCGATTAATTAACGGATATAATTATGATCTAAAAAAAGATTCCTGCAATATTAGTTTCCTATTTTACCTCCTGCGGAGAAATGGAAAGCATTGATGACGTTGAAGAAAATATGCAAACCTAAAGTACGTATGATCTCCGGTACCTGCGAGATGGATGACTAATGCATTCTTTATTTTCGAAAATTTCCCACGCCATGTAGCTTGCCCAATATTTCCAGGTAGTAAATCGGGGAAGAGTGATGCTAATGGACTGATAAAATAACCTTCCATATAATGATTCCCAACACTGGTGGCTTCCTGTTTAGATGAATTTTGATCTTTCGTGAGAATTCCATTTCATTTTCAGTGCAAATCATCTTTACCATCCTTATTATTAGTTTAGTATAGAAAATGCCACGAGCTTTGCCATGTATCACCATGTATATGAAACCCTATTTAGAACAGAGAACATTGAGAAAGGCATACATCTTTGGTAATAACCATTTTTGGATTTGTATGCTCCACAATTTCCATAATACCTCCATTAGACATTACATTTGTTCGAAATTTCAACGACCTGAAAATGATTTACTTGAAAAATTTTTCTAAACTAAGAATAATGTAAACTATAATTTCATTAAGTTTTAACTAAAATGTGATACTTGATTTCTATTCAGATGTTATTTTAGAAATTAGTTCTTATTACCTTCTAAAATGGCAGAAACTAACTTTTATAAAAACAAGATGAAATTCGGCAGAGATTTGATTCTTTACAAAAAGAATAGATACAATCTAAGCTTATGGAAAACCCAATATACATGCAGTTATAAAATTTATGCAATCTAAACTGATATAATACTGCAAGTGTTAGTTTACGATGCTGAAGAAAGTCGTTGCGTGTAATGAATTTTTTTGCAAACAAAAACAAACGTTGCCAATGTTTCAGGATTGCCCCAGGAATTGGTGAAGAACTTAGATAGTAAAAGAATTCGACGTAAAGCTAAATCAATGGCACTTGGACCATACATCAGTACACTTCGAATTGTTCTTGCAAGTTCCTCCAAGCAGCGTTTAGCACTTCTTCAACAAGTAGTATGAAATTACAATTTAATTGAGAAAACTTTTTTATAAAATTAGCTACTTTTCAATACTTAATAGTACTTTCAATTACTTGCACGATTTTGTCTAATCATAGGGGATTGAACCTATTGTTCGCGTATCAAATTACGATGAAAATCTTAGTAAAAATCTACCTGTTGATGAGTACGTACTTGAAACAGCACGTATGAAAGCGATAAATGTCGAGAAAACTATGGTAAAATATTCACTTACTACAATTTTCCCGAACTTTTAGGTGATGAAAGTTAATTTTTAAATTCATATATGAATAGAAGTCAAGTACCATATTTTAGCTTCCATTAAAAAATTTTAAAGTAAGATTTTATTATTTCTCGTCCCGCGTTTTTGATGCAACAAAAATATGAAAAGAAAATTATTGTACACTTCTGTTAATAACTATATCTAGTAAAATATAACAAAATGAGTTAAGCAAAACTTGCAAATTAGGAATTTGAATTACAGTGTATGAGATTAAATGTGATAATTTGAAAAGTTCATAAAACTGACACATACGTGGGAGATTCTTTTCAGGATGTTAGTGTTTACGATGTGATTATAGGCTGTGATACAGTAGTTGCATTCAATGGCGATATTATCGGTAAACCAACTGATGAAGCAGATGCACGCGCCACTCTTCAACGGTATCCTAAGAACAATTTTCTTTAATTACAGCAGTACACTGTAATTACTTTACAATGATTATCTTTACTTGTCTTTTAGCCTTTTGCTGGTAATTTTGTGTGTATGAAAAAACTATAAAGATACAAACATATACTGAATAACTGAACTGATCTATCTATCTTCTGACACTTCCCACCAATTGTTAGATTGTAGAATAGTTGTAAGTTCTCTCTTACTGAATGAAACCCAATTTCTATGTTTTCACTTTACTGACCAATTTTCTGAGATAAAGAGTTATTTCTTGATATTACATTTGAGTAGAAATCAAATAACATATTTTAGTTTGTAATAAATTTAGGTTAAGTGGAAATATACATGATGTTTACTCAGGAGTAGCAATAATAGACAACAAAGGGCAATGTGAAGTATTTGTAGAAAAAACAACCGTCAAATTCAGTCATATTCCAATGGAATTAATTGAAGAATATGTAGCATCTGGCGAACCAATGTAAGAACCTTTCCCAAGATGAAACGAGGCTTCTTAAAAACTGATTATTGAACTAAATACGACTTCCTTACTTTTTCTCTTCTTTATTTATGTCTCACGTGTAGCACGAACTCTAGAGTTTAATTCGAATTACATATACTAGTAATAATTAAAACTTTAAGCTTTCTTTCCAGCGGCCGTGCTGGTTCTTATGGGATTCAAGGTCGTGGAGGAATGTTTGTCGAAAAAATTGACGGATGTTTTTATAACGTTGTTGGCTTACCCTTGAACCATTTGATGAAAATACTGTGGCAAAAAGCTAGAATGATAAATTTGACGTAATCAAATTCAAAGACACTTATCGTACTGTTTTTTTAAAATAAAAGTATTTTTGACTTCAATCGTCAGGTTCCTACGCACACAGAATGCTGTACTTAATTTTCATCGCTTTGATTATTTCAGTAAAGTAACTTCCAACGTTGAAGAAGGCCCAACAAGCTACACACGTTTCATCTGTGCTATGATATGACTGTTTTTGCTAAACTTAACATAACTGAGTCACTTAATAATGATGAAAAAACAGATGAATCTTGTGAACCGCTTTCAAAGAGAGTAAATTTTAGGATATAAGCAGACATTTATTAAAGTTTGATACCAATCTTTTTTTTTCTTGAAACAATAACTGGGAACCATTTCCCTGTACAGAAACTTCGTTATATTAACCTAAAACGAATCAAACTTGCATCATTCTACTAGTTTTTTTCGAAAGCAATATTTTTGAACATTTTCTCACACGTAACTGTCCTTTTGTAAAATTCGCTGCTGAAATATTAAATACGTAAATACAAAATTATAAGAACTAATTTCCTATTTTTCTGACTGGTCATCTTCAAAAATTTTACGGACAATTGCAAAAAGAAAACAATACGTGACAGCATAAAACTATAGAGTGTACGAACAGTAAACAGAAAATAACTTTCACAGATTATTATCACCAGCTGTTATCACATACCATTTGTAAGCAATACTTTATGACAATACATTCATTGAAGAAATGCAAAATTTACATCAAATGCCATAAATATACACTTAATAATGCTTTATCGGGAAAGAAATAACAAATCATAAGTATTGTTTCAGATTAAATAACTTGATTTTTGCAAAAGATATATATTTTGGGGATTGGTATGAACTCTTCGTTCGCCTTCATCCTTAATACATTAATAAACTGATACAAAAATATTGAATTATCTCATACCTAAGCCCAAAATATACATCTTTGGTCACAAAATTAAAATAATTGTAAGTACTCGAGGAATAAAATTAAAAGACGCAACAGGTGAAAAACAAGAAGTGTTTTGCAAAGGTTCCATTTTCAAAAATGTTTGCTAAGTATGTTGCCAGAAATCATTATGAAAAAGAAAAAACAGAATCAATGCCAACCCAATTTCACAGAAAAATAGTAAATTGAAAAATAAAGAAAGGGATACAATATCGGATTGAAGGATTATAAAATCATCACTGCAACTTCAACTAAACAATACAAGTGTAAAATAAGCAATTTAACCATCGTCTAGTTGGGTACTGCAGAAAAAGCTGTAGTTATTTAAGTGAAAGTATTTCTGTGACTAACGTCGTTTTGCTATCAAGTTAAGCAATTGAGATTATTTATTCCTTTGAGTAACATAATCTTTTCAAAATAACAAAACTTTCGAAATCTAAAATTGCAAGCAAAATGTATAAACTGTTATTTCTATCTTCAAATAAAAATTAAATCGAAGGAACTTCAGCTTTTAAATAGTATTTCCCGTGTAAACACATGAGTTTTATTGAAAAAAAACTGTGATATGGCGTTATATAAGCTCATAATTCTATGTTTATACCAGTACAAGAGAGTAGAAATGACCCAGAAATAAGAACAAATTTATGGAAAAATTTCGTAGATTTTCTCAGTCAGACATTATTTTTTCTTTTTGATACAGAAATTCAGAATTTTTGAAAGCTAAATGGAATCTCTGGTATTCCGAAAAGTCGATGGTTTGGGTGTTCTATAATCCATGGGTGGTGATTTTAGGACCAATAAGGAAGGACGTGAGACATGAGGAGAAGAAACTTCCGGTACCGTTTCAAGTGTACTAATACCTGGAGTCTTTTTGTTCGCAGTCGTTTCAAATCCTGGTGAAGGCTCACGTGAACTGGAGCTCTTCCTCTTCATTCCACGTCGTTTCACAAGCAGTGGAGCTGCTGCTACTTCCATTAGATGAAATCCTTCCCGGTTGGCATTCAAAAAAGCATTCAGAGTTTCATTGAATGTTTCAGCTGCAATCAAAATTCTGTCAAAGAGGAGGATGTAATGAGTTTAAGACTGAATTTATAAGTAATACACTTTTTGTGCCTCCCATCATCACATTTCTTCATCTGCAGTTAGGATGAATTAACATGTAAACGAACTTGTATCTGATTGTGAGTTCAACAGAGTCGTTGGCGTTTGTAACGGTGTTTCATTTTGTGCAGCTACACTCAGTAACCAAGGATGATGTTTCAATTCGTTCAATGACAAGCGCTGCGTCGGATCGACTGTTAGAAGTGCTTAAAAAAGAGAATTGAATAAAATATTCAAGAATTTTATTGACCATAATCTGTGGAAAATCTTCTTTTCTTTCAACTGGCTTTATTTGTGTTGTTATTCGGTAATTCAATGCTTTGCTTAATCAAAATTTTTCGACACATAGTAACTTATGCATGGACAACAAAACTCTACTTTTATACAACATAAAAACGTAACAAGTAATCAAAGTTTTCGCTTTAGCACTAATACGTCGCCACTGGGGTGTATCAAATGAAAATTGAGCATTTCGAATCCGTCTGATAATATCGGTAGCTGATTCGCATTTGCTACGTGCATGGAAAGGAACGTTGCCACTAAGCATCGTAAACTGAATTTATTATTTCAAAATATGTAATCACAAAATAAATATAATTTACTTCATCCGCGTAAATTGGGCAGCAATTATTCCAAAACTGTTAATCACTTTCTAAAAAATAAGTAAAAACCAAAATGAAAGAACTTATGCACCACTCTATTTCTAGACAAAAAGTTATAACGAACTTTTTAACATCTTTAATAATCGATTTTACAGCAATAAATATTGGCATCTAATGAGGTCCGAATCATCTCCAATTTGATGGAAAGTGGTAATCAATATGAAAATAAGATAAAAAACTACTAGCTAACCAAAATAACTCCAAGACTCCACAGATCACACTGTTCGTTGTACTGTGGTAATTGGTCATCGCTTTCCAAAACTTCTGGTGCTGCATAATGTAAGGTAAAACAAGGAGTAGTTAAATTTTCCATAGCTGATGGCAAAAACCGTGCAAACCCAAAATCGATCAAGCGTAATTTCGCTTGCGGTTCATTATTTTCAAAAAGAATATTCTGAAGAAAATAATAAATTGCAACTGAGAATAAATATTAGGGCATCGAAGTGGTGGATAAGGTTATTTAAATAAGAACTAAATATTTAATAAATTTGCCGATTAAAAAGGATTTCAATACATTATATAGTGATTAATTATTTAGAACTTAAGCATAACACAAATAATTATTATGAACACAGCAGATAAAACAGAAAAATTTTAGAAACTATGGCCAAATATCTAAATTCACTACCACCAAACCTTATAGAAATTTTTCTCTGTAAAATTCAGGAAGTTTGTATACCTCTGGCTTTAAATCACGATGTACGACTTTTTTAGAATGCAGATATGCAACGGCTGAGACGAGCTGCTTCATTATTTTCCCAGCTTGAGCTTCAGTAAATGTCTCCATTTTCTTGATTCGAGTAATTAATTCTCCACCTAAAACGAATAAGTATGTATTGACATAAAAAAAAGATCTACTAACGAAAAGTTGCACACAACTTGAATTTTTTCAAATTGCAGAACATTGTAGCGATTCTAGCAAAAATGTCAACAACTCAGTTATGTTATGTGAAAAATATATTAATGAATTATAACCGATATTTTGGTCTACAAGAATGCAAAACACCAGTGTGCAATAATACTACTTATTATTGAGGCGAAAATGTAATAGCGTTATAAAACTTAATTAGTGGGGAAGATACTGCATTTTAATAAAAAACATACTAATTTATCATAAAATTAGAGCTCAAAATATTTTTGTCACAGAATCTTATTATTTAATAAGTTATAACATGCGAACCTTCAAGCATCTCCATAATTATATAGATGTGTAAAGTGTCAGATTGAACATCAACAAGACGAACAATATTGGGATGTCCGCCGACCAAATTCATTATGCTTACTTCTTGATTTGCTTGAGTTTGAAATCGCTGGGAAATTATCTTGACAGCAAACACTACTCCATCTGATAACCTTTCGCATTTTCTAAAGATTCATTTAGCACAAATTATTCTTTTAACGTTGGTATTTATTTGCTGAGAAGTGTTTCTAGCTAAGTCATACATTATCTGAAATCTCGATTGATTTTAAAAGCTTTCTTATTCACCATTGAAAAGTGATTTGTAACTAATCTTATTAATTTTGAGTACAACTTTGAGTTTACCTGCAAATCGAAAACGACCCTTTGCCAAGAAGACCAGTTTCAGAACGGTCTAACCTATATTTCGAAAAAAAGGGTGAAACTGAAACCAACGCACTGAAATCTTGTGCCAAATATTGTTCACCAATTACATTATTATTAGCAAACATCACCGACGGAGATACAAATGAATATCCCTGAAAACATGAAAAAATCACTTTATAATTGAACTTCGGACAAATATAAACGTTAATTTTTCACAACATGATACAAAGTTTTCAGGTAACCAAACAATACCCGAAAAAGGCTACGTGTATCAAAAGGAGTATCATCAACTGGTGAATAAACTGGCAACTGATTAGTGAATTCAGGAGCAAAATTTGTTACATCCATCTAAAAATCAAAACTACATATTTCAAAAGTTTAATGATTTCAAAGCAATAACTGTCCAAAAAGTTAGAACTTTTACATATATTATAAAATCTAAATTAAAACAGAAACAATATTGCAATAACCCCATATTATGTTCAAAATGGAAAAATTCACATCGTTAGAAACCCTTGGTACAATTGGCGGTTCTAATTCACGTCGCTCACATTTATTCCAATCAATATCGTCAAGAAATGGATGGCATTTAATTTCGTTAACACCATTTCTACCCAAACGACGTCGAGGTGATTTTTCTAACAGTAGACTGATAAAATTGACAGCACACTTATCAAGATTCCGAGGGAATGGTACGCTTCTTGTTAATATTCTTCTAGAATACTGGATTAACTTCTAGAATTGAAAAAGACAATGGAAATGAATGTTTTTCAGATAAGGTAAAGAAAACAACGGAAAAATATCTCGTATACCTTGCAATATCTTTACTTGTATTTGCATGACCATCAACTGTGAAAGGTGAACATCCAGTTAATAATTCAAAAGCAATAACACCTAAACTCCACCAGTCAACAGTTTCATCATACCCATCTGATGTTGGTTCTACTACTTCAGGAGCCATATATTCTATAGTTCCACAGTAAGAATTTGCCCTGTGTAACTAAATTAAATTTAGATATGTTTTAGTGGCACAAAAACAAATTTTTTGAGTCTTTCATTACGAAATGAATAAATGATTATTGCACAAGCTTATATAAAATCGTAGAAGCATCTGATCAAACGATGTATATGTAACAAACGTAAACTGTTTTAGAAGCATTAGACCTAATGAAGATATTTACCTTCAAAAATTAAATGAAACTGTAGATAAGCCTTCTTTTACCTCATTATCTGTCAATTCTTTGCTTAATCCAAAATCAGTCAATTTAATATGACCATTTTCATCCAGTAGAATATTCTCCAGTTTTAGATCGCGATAAACAACTTGTCGCTGTAAATCAGATCACAGGTAAAAAATACAAATGTAATTTTAATTGTGATCTTTGTAAATTCAATAACAGTATACAGCTTCGAAAAAAATAAAAGAAAAAATTACATCGTCTGTGTAAAAAATGAAATTACAAAAACAAATGCTATCTATAAAAGAAAATAAGACTACCTTATGGACGCTGTCAATGGCAATTAATAATTCAGCTACATAGAATTTCACGGAATACACATCAAATGAACCTCTTTTACACAGATGGGTGAACAACTCACCACCTTTGATAAATTCTGAAGCAGACAGAAATCAAAGATTTTGATTTCTTGTGAAAATTCACGAGGAAATAACAATTTTGAAGTACCTAACTGCAGTAAACAGTACTTTATTATTTTCATAATATTTTATAAACACCAAAAATATAAGACGTATACTTTTATGTATTTCAATATTACCCATAACAATGTGAAGATTAGAATCTGACTGAAAAGCGTAAATCATTTCAACCAGAAATGGCAACCCTTTGAGGCGTTCCAGCACATGACGTTCAGAAAGCGTGTGTTGCAGCGTTTTTGCTTTTGTAACGACACGGCTTTTGCGTAAAACCTTCATCGCGTATATTCTGCCGTGGTCGCGTCCACCAACTTTTCGTGTTAGAAATACTTTTCCATAGGCTAAGAAAATTCATGGAAAATGTTAAAAGAAGATTTAGGAAGTATGTATAGCACAGAGAAAAAGTTGAATAAACTTTTATAAGTCTAAAAGTGAGATGTTTCCAATAATATGCTCCATAAAGTAACAAAATACATTTTTAAAAAAGTAGTTTAAACTACAAAAGCTAAAATTTTTGATTATTGCTTCAACCGATACAGTTCATGCCTTTCTTACATATAAGAAAACTATTTAAGGCTCGTTATATTCTAAATTTGATTTAAGCCTTTAATTGCCATTTTCATCTGAAACTATTTATCAAACCTCCTTTCCCAAGAACTCGCATGAGTGCAAAATTTTCCATGCTAACTTTTTCTTCTTTTAATAAGTCGCTTTTCAACAAGCCTGACGCTAGTGATGAAAGAGAATCATGCGACATTTTCCTGAAAATCACATAATAATTTCAAAATCTGAATCACAGACATTAGAAGTGAACATCCAGTCGATAATTCATAAGCAATAATACCAAAACTCTATCAGCCACAGTTTTATCATATCCATCTGATGTTGATTCTACTACTTCATATAATCCTTATTCTATAAAGCCATACATTCTGTAGCTCCGCAATACGAGTTTAATATAATAATTTATAATTGTTTCTAAACTAGTGTCAATTTCTCAATTGAAAAATTAGTACTAGTTTATAAACAATTATAAATTATTATTTTTTAAGTGACTCTCCTTTAAAATACGATAAGTAAAAGATTTTGGTGATAATTCTTGAAAATTACGAACATGACTGATTCACTTTTTAAAGTGTAAATTCGACAACTAACTAATTATAATCAGTTACAGAATATAGTTTCGTATACTATAAACAGCATTTTTATATATTGAAAAGAAACTAACTTTTGTGTAGATTAAATGTAACCAGCTTCTTGATGCATTATCTATCCACTTATCAATGCTTCTTTCACTGGTAGTGCTTTATTTTCATACACTTGGAAGTTGATGATTTAAGTAAACTGCTAGAGATGGACGGGTTGACCAATAAAAAAATTTTTTCATCACTGCAAATTTCACAAAAATGTGCTGAGCCTAAAATGCTTCAATTAGAAAACATTCTTGAAATAACTGTGAGAAAGAATCAGTACCATCCGCTAGTTCTATCGATAAATTAATCAGTAGTAAATAGCACTATTTCTGAAGTACACCTGCTTTGGCTATTATTCTGGTCTATTAATGAGAAACTGCTCCGTAATTTTAAGATTAAAAAGCTGTAGTAAAGTTGTAAACACTTTTTTGTTGGTTGCTTCAGATAGATTCTCCTCATATTTTTTGATAAAATAACAATGAAAGTGCACACTTTAATCAGGTATAATCAAGTCTCTAGACACGTAAACAATGCGTTGTTCACTTTCAACGAGTAAATTTTTACAATACGCTTTAATTTTAGTCAAAATCTTTACTTTTTCTGGGTTTACTGTGAAATTCTCGTTGTTTACTTCATAATCTATTGATTTTAAATTTTCACGTATTATACAGAACTCAAAAATTTACATAAAATTAAATTTTTTCCGATCATTTTTGTATATCTCTTGAGCACCTGATTTGTAGTTTTTGTTTTAAATGAAGATAAAATATATCATGAGACATTACGATTGCAACTAAGATATCACGTTATTACGGCTCTTTCACACAAATGCATTAGCAGTTATCAGTACTTGAATCTGATATTTAAAAAATAGTACTGAAAAACACAGTTCACAATACTGATAACGTGCAATTTCTTTTTCTAAATACAAGGAAAGTTTAACAAATTTATTCAAGCATAATCAGTATCTTTGAATAATGTGTATAATAGCAAAATAAGAAAAACTCATTGCAGTTTCATATTTGCAACGAACAAATTAAACAGAACAAATAAATTGCCAAAAATAGGACAACGAAGAATGAAAACTTAACTGAATAAGACTGATCATATTTTGCTGATTAAAGAACAAAATAGTCAGAGAAGAGCAGTATGAGTAAAAATTGGGTGATGCATCATCTATCTGCGAACATAAAATTGAAATGAGTCAGCTTTACAGTAAAAAATGTAGTAAGTAAACAGCACTTGAACTAGTTCAATCCAGATCAATTGTTTCTGATAGCTTTTTGCACATGAAATCTATAAAATTAAACTGAAATGAGCCAAGCTATTTCACAAATGATAAAATGCTTACTAAACTTAGCTACAGTTTTTAACTGATTACACCTATCAAATTTTTTGATGATGTTATGAGCTGAAAGCATCGAAAAGTAGTTGACGAATGAAAGTGCGTCAGTTGATGCTTACTTAAATTCTTATGGCTTGAACTTAGTGCTGCACCTGTAATCAATACTGAAATCAAAAACACAACAAAAGCTTTTATGAGTTGAAAATTTTTATTAATTCTGTCGAAGTGATAAGCACAGTTCATGTATGCAATGATAATTCTTGAAACATACAATGAAAGTACGAACTGCAATGTAAAACAATTTTTGTTGATATGAAAAAACACTGAAGTAGCAGCATAATGAATGTGAGAGAAGGAATTTTAACACAGTCTATTTCATTCAAAATTTAAATTTTGAAAAAACAAACAAAGTGTCCTAAAATATTATCACTTTTCTGTTTGATAATCAGCTTAATACACATGCAAATAATTAAATTCGATTAATTTTTTGCGTATACTTCATTTCCCATTAATAATTAATCAATTACAAGTATTTACATCAGAAAGTGCACAAACTGAGTCAATATGCAAATTAAAACACAATCATATTCAGAAAGTTTAGCTGTCAATTATTTCTTACTTCCGCGGACTAATTCAATTAGTTATTTGATAGCAAAAGCGA